ACACACACACACACACACACACACACACACACACACACACACACACGCACACAAACCGGGAAAAAAAAAGCAACGAAGGCATGCTTCTGGTTCATTCATAGCAGTATATCCTGTGCAGGATCAATCTGGTTCAGGGAAAGAATCACGGCACTCTGGTCTTCCTTGTTTTCTTGCCCATCGTCCCATGACATCCCTTGCCACTATTCTTCTCTCCATTAACATTCCACCATCATGTATGGATTTACGGAGGCTTGGTGCAGAATTGATCATGCCTGGTGCACGGAGCATCCATGCAACGTCGCTTGCCCGGCAATTCTCCCACTGTGGGTTAGGTGAGGGTAGGGTGTGGCCTTTGCTTAGCACTAGTGTCTACAACAAGCAGTCTCGGCCGTGCACCGTTGCAGGGGGCTGGGCGATGGTCCTTGTATCGATGCACCGTTGCAGCTAGGGATGGAAGAATCAAGAGCTTGGGCGGGAGGTAGCCTCCATATCCAGCCAGGCTGGCTGGCGAAAGATACTTCTCATGGCTCGGCGCCTACCCTCTACAAACAACACCCTGGAAACGTCAGCTGGCTCGCACTGTATTTATTCTTGGGCAAGTGGTTCAAGGCAGAATAGTTAGAACAGCGGAATCATAATTCGCATGTCGGGGGCTCAAACCCCTCTTCACGGACTACAAGGCCGAAGGGCCGCCGCCTGGTGGTGCCTATGGTTGCCACTTATCAATCTCTCTGTGTGGCATATGAAAACTAGCTTGTAGACCTGAAGAAATTGAAACACAAAAAAGAAAAAGAAAAAAAGAAAAAAGAAAAAGAAAAAAACACACACAAGTGATTGTTCCGACAGGGACCTGTGTTAGCTGGGTTTCAATGCCTGTATTTGTCTGTTTTTTCCTGTTTTTTTGCCCTGTTTTCCGGAACCATTTGTGCGTAAGACTCGTATCTACCAGGCCTCGATGCCCGGGTCTTCGATAGTTAGAACTGTTAGGACTGTTTTGGATTGATCGGGAAGGCTTAGAACTGTTAGGTCCTTTCACAGGATTGTTTGGGAAGGCCTGACACTGTGCTAACACACAGGGCTAAGCCCCTGAAGAGACACCGTGGCTGGTGTCAAAACGCGGCGCCGGGGACGCCATACCTGTATTGTGCTACTCTGTAATATTTGAATGCTTTTGTCTCATGTCCGATGTTGTGCGAGTGATGTTGTGCATGAAGACACTTTGCTTTCATACTCTATGAATCTGCATACTGCGCGTGTGAACACTTTCGGAGTCGCTTTACCAAAAGGGGTGAGCACGTAATCGTCGTGTACAACTGGTGTTTTTGAAGTTTGACTGTACTACCGAGACTGAGGTTACGAAGAAGCGAAGCCCGTCAGTTACGAGTTGAGTAACTATGTCGAATGATCAGCGAGAGAGCGGACGTGGCCATGGAGGCAACCAGGAGAGAGGACCGCGGAGGCCTCCACTCATCTGTTTCGCGTGCGGTGAAGAGGGACACTATGCGACGCAATGCAGAAACCCAAGACCGGGTTGGCGAGGGGCCCAACAAGCAAGACCGTCCAGCTCTACGGACTCCAGGCGAGGGAGATCTTATTCGCCACATAAGCATTACCGAGGTTCTACTTCGGAAGATCGTGAGGCGCAATCTCAGGTGAAGGAGATCGGAGATAGCGTGGCGACATTGCGCGAATACATTGAAGTAGAATGCGCAAAGAAAGAGGCAAAGGCACGTCAAAAAGCCGAAAGGAAGGAAGCGGAGTGTTGTGCTATGGAGGAAAAGGAAGCGAGGGAGGGGAAAGCGAAGAAGAAGGCTGAGAAAGCACGGGAGGAGGACGAGAGAGTCGCGGCTATCCGTAAGGATATGGATTTACATGTCAAGCTTAATGTGAAGGAAGCACTCAGCAGAGCCTGCGCTGAGTTCCGGGAGGCGATCGTCGCCGCGAAGCTTCATGAGAAGATGAAGGGGAAGAAAAAACTGAACTACGTACCTGAGGAGGAGTTCTCCGAGTACGAATTTGTAGGTAGTGATATGGAGGAGATTTGTGAACGGGCGCAGGGTCTAAGTATTAATGAAAAGTGGAAGGGAGGGTCAGAACCTGTTTTCGAGGATAGCCCGCCCATGGAGTTGCCGGCGAAAAGGACACCGAAGCGTACACCGAAGAGGGGGATCCTTAAACCGGCGAAGCTTACACCAAGGTTGACCCGCTCGAAGACCAAGGCAAAAGTTAGACTCTCCCCAGCAACGAAGGACAGAATCACGTCAGCAGTGAAGCGGAAGATCCCTGCCACCACGGGCAAGATTGGCCGGTACAAGCTAAGGGATGAGGTGATGTGACTACTCAAGGATCATGACGCGATCACTCTGCAGAACCTTTGCTTCGAGGAAGGGATTCAGTATAGAGGTAAGATCGATGCGATCTTTGACTTGGCGGAGCACAGGGCTTACACCACCTATGGTACCGACAACGAAGATGATGGACAAGTTGAGAGTAAGCAGGATATTGACGATGTCGGGGGGACGGAAGTTGTTGAAGGCAACGAGGGAGTTGCCGAGGATGTTGACAGGTGATGCGTTTTCGGTATATCCGAGTATTGGAGGCTTTACCAGATTTTGGTTGATGTACGTGGTAAGCTTGATAAGATTGACTGTAAGTTGGAATTGTTGTTCCGAATGACCGTTGTCCGACTGTCTGTCGCTGGATGCATTCGGTGGAATAGGAAGTGTATATTTGCTTGGTTACGGCTGTACGAGCTATTTGGCTTCGAGTTCTTGCATCTAAGGAACGTTGTATATGTTGATAGTGTCCCCTTTCTGTCGAGCGCAATATGTCGGGAAAACATGTCGGGATGTTGATGTACGATGGGGGGAACACTTGTACGCTAGTAAGCACAAGACACCGACTCACTTTCATCGTTGGATTGGCTGTTTCGGATCCCGGAATTACACTTTGATCCCCGTCGATACTATCGAGGGAAACGAGCTGTTGAATTTGGAACATGTGTACATTAGGCAATGGTCACCTGTTCTAAATACAGCCGGACTTAAGAAGGGAGTCAGGAAGAAGAAGCGTACGAGGAAGGGAGCGAGAGAAAGACGAAAATCCAATCCGCAGGAGTCAAAATCTCACAGAGATGTGCAACCGATTAGATTCACGAGTAGGGAACAGGATGGGATATTTGTTGATCTCTGTGATTTTATGTCGAAATGCTCGTCCAAGGGATGTACCGAATTTGACCTTCAATGTGATGGAGGAAACACTTGGTACACACCCTCGAAGAAGATTAGGAGAATGTTTGGCGAAAGTGTCGTTGAGATCGATGGACTGACCTTACCTCTAACATCTGCGAAGAGCTACTTCGAAGAGGGAGGATTCTTTCGGTTCACCCACCTGAGAATTTGGAAGCCTAGATGCAAGGCACTAAAGCTGGTGTTGATTGGTATACTGAATAGCCCTCGTAAGCTAAAGGATGTGTACAGTTGGAGTATGCGGTCAGTCTTACGGTTATATGCAGCGATAAAAGACTTTTGCCGAAAATCAACTCGGAAGTACCTACGTAGGTTGTTACAGAGAGTGTTCAAGGATCGATTCAAGTTAAGCCTGAGTGCTGACCTGGTTGTTAGAGTGAAGTTTGATGACAGTATTAAGCTTTCTGAGCTTAGGAAGGTGATTAACGATATGATCATGGATTGTGAGTTGCCAGCGTGCTTTAAAGCTCGCGCACGTAAGAAGGTCCGCCTCGTCTGGACTAAGAACCAGTCCGTTGGGGACATCTTGCACAACCAGCGACAATATGCCGCTTGTGAAGTGCTAATCTGCAGCTGCGCAGATTTATCTTTCCCTCGTGTGGAAGGTCACGTGTGCGTACGCCTCAGCGCGATGTGCGACAAGTTACCCTTGATTGCTAACGCTAAGAACATTCCTATGCCGGATGTCTGTGATAGGACTTCACTGCTCCATCACGAAATCGTGACGAGCTTTAGCTGTAGTTTGAACTATCGCGATCAGCAGGTCAACGTGGATATGGCTGCATTGGACCGATGCTTTGTGAGTAAGTGTGAGGATAGGATGTCTTATCTCACCCTTACTTATGTTTTGGAAGTGAAGAGGCAGTTGCATGGATTGGTGTGCACACCGCTCGATCGTAATTCAGGCGAAACATTGGTGATGTGCCCTAAGATTTATTTCCAAGCGATGATGTCCACCTTCAGTGTTGTATCCAGACAAGAGAAAGATGTGCTTGAGGGAATGGAAGCAGAAATGCAGACGATGGGGTTGAAGCGCATGGCCAGATGGGATAGGAAAGGAAAATTGGGGTCTGCGTATGTGTTGCCAAAACAGAAGGACGTCATCAGATACAGACCCATTTGTCCGACCTTCAATGAGTCGTTGGTGAAGACTGGGTGCCTGGTTGCAAAAGCCCTTAATCACCTGCTTTTCTCTCTGCCCAGAGAGTGGCATTTCAATCTACAAAGCGTGTCCTTTTTGGTAGACCGCCTTACAAAAGTCAATCGTAAGATTGCGGGGAGGGAGAGAGGATATGGCGTGAACGTGATGTCATATGACATCAAGGAGATGTTTAGTCGGTTACCTCATAAGGACATTATGGACGCCGTCGATTGGATCTCTTCGGACCACAGTGGAAAAGGCAGGGATTTCGTACGAGTGAATAGTAGAGGAAAATGATGCAGTTTCGGCTTGACGACAGGGGGTGATCACTGGAGAAAGATTGAGATCCGAGATATTGTGCAATTCGTGTGCCTCGAGCTTCGACACACGTATGCCACAGGGGTACTTTTGAAACAGGACATCGGCATCCCCATGGGGAAGAGCACAAGTCCACCCCTGGCATGTATCATGTGTGCATATGCGGAGTACAAGTTTTTAGGAAGCTTGGGAGTGCGTAGGAGGAATGTGTTTGGGGTCAGATTGATTGACGACGTAGTGTTGATTACATGTGGGATGCGATCACAGGAGGCGAAGGCAGTGCAGCAGGAGTTTGAGGAGTGCTATCCGAATAATCTGTGTCTGAAGCGAACTGATGATGGCTCTGGAAGTTTCGATTTCCTGGGATGCAGAGTACACATAGGCAGTACCTATCCATATGTCGGATGCGTGCAGATGTCGAAAAACGAGGTGAGCATGTGGAAGGACGAAACACTGGAGATTCAAACTGGTCAATCTTTTCAATCCTGGGGATGTAAAAGACAGAAGAGTGCGATCGTAGGGAGCTACCTACATCGCATTGACCAGAACACCTCGATACGCTCTGAGATACCCTTCAGGGTCCTGAGCTTGAAGAAGGAATTGAGTTCCCACACAGATTCTTCATGCGAGTCCTCACGAGATTCGCCAGATGCCGAGACGAGATTTGGGAATACACAGCAGCGTTGATGTCTCACTTTTCATAGTACTGGTATAGACCTGATATTGGTGACATGTACTGTAGTCTGCCTTTGTGTTTTGACGATTCTTTGGATTGAAGTAGTAATCTTGTAGTGTAAGCAGGCACTTGAATCTGCATGGTAAAGCATTATGCGGACAGTGACCTGTGTTAGCTGGGTTTCGATGCCTGTATTTGTCTGTTTTTTCCTGTTTTTTTGCCGTGTTTTCCGGAACCATTTGTGCGTAAGACTCGTATTTGGATTGATCGGGAAGGCTTAGAACTGTTAGGACCTTTCACAGGATTGTTTGGGAAGGCCTGACACTGTGCTAACACACAGGGCCAAGCCCCTGAAGAGACACCGTGGCTGGTGTCGAAACGCGGCGTCTGGGACGCCATACCTGTATTGTGCTACTCTGTAATAATCGAACGCTTTTTTTGTCTCATGTCCGATGTTGCGTGAGTGATGTTGTGCATGAAGACGCTTTGCTTTCATACTCTATGAATCTGAATCTGTTACCAAGGCAGGCCCTGATGAACCAAGAAAGTGACCAAATGCGCCTGCACCTCCGAGGCGGGCCGGCTCGGGAGATAAAAGTCATCAGAAAGAAAGGGGATAACGAACTCGATCATGTAGTGCCTGAACGACATGATTCTCTAAGTCAGCGAGTAATGGCTTGGAGCCTTGGACTTTGCAATTACGTCCTTTCTTGGTAAACTAGAAGCGAAACTTGTCAAAAATCATTGTGCATAGCTTTCATGGTGAACACGACAGACTTAAAATATGTTCCTACTGGTATTGATTCAAGTCCGATAGTGAGCATAAAAAAAAAAAAAAAAAAAAAAACATTCCACCATCCTTGTGTATAGGTCAGCTTGAGACGGTGTGGCAGAGTTGGAGCGGCCCTGCAATCGAGATCTGCGACCTGGGCGCACTCGATAATTCCGTATATCGTAGGAGTGGCTGCATCTTGAAATCCGTATTGCCAAGAGTCTGCAGTGTCCATATAAGCATTTCTGAAATAAGCTCTTCGTTTTTGTTCTTTTGTTGTATTGTATGTTCTCGTTTTTGTTCTTTTGCTGATAGACCCGTAACTTTCGTAAGTGGTCACGGGCTGCTTCACAAGTAGAGTAGAGAGGCAAGCAACAAAGCGCTTGTGCAGCGCCTCCAATTTAATTGATTTATATTAGAATCTAGGCTACCCGCCAGGCTGCCCAGGCCACCTTGTTTTCCCGGGCGGTCTGGCCGTGCAAGGAGCCGGGGGGTCGCAGCAAAACAAAACAAAACAGAAAAACACACACACACAAATTAAGAAACTCCGAAGAAAAATCTATGTTAGGCAGGAAAAATAAACTGAACAACTTTTGCCTCAGGATCACATTGAGAATTCTTTACCAATTTTAACATGAAAATTTCTTTTTTTCCTGTTTGTTTTTCCCATTCTCTTTTGGCCCCACCATTTCTCTTTTTCTCAGGTAAATTTCTCTTTTTTTGTGTCTTTCACCTATTTATGTAATTTTATGGTGTGATAGAATTATATACTATACTCGATGCTTTTATTCGGCAAATGTCTCAAGACAAAATAGCTGACAGAAGAAAAAAAAAGAAAAAAAAAAGCTGACAGATCTTATACAGACGTGTGCTTGGATTGGAAATCTTGCACGCTACTTTGAAAGAATCTACAAATAATGCATATGTAAATCCAATTTTCCAAACGTTGAGAAGAAAGAGACTTTTTTGTCTCCTTTCTTTAGGAATTGTAAACCAAAAAAGTCTT